AAAAAAAAAACTAGTGCAGTATACAGTATGTACAGATACTCATACAAATGATACACATACACCATTAATGAAGGATAATTTGAGAAGCATTTTCATACGTAGTATTTCAATAGCATAATGTATGCCTGATTCAACCATACAGGAATATGTCGGTGTATAGACTTTGTGTCTGTGTGAGAGTGTGTGTTTCTGTGCGAGTGTGTGCCTCTAAGTCTGTGAAAACGAAATGTGACCTTCATAAGATGAAATACACTGTGAGCAACAGACTTACATTGATTTCCACAGCAATTACTGCCATTCTCAGCTCAGCTAGTGCATAAATATTGATGTTCTGTGTTCAACATTCGGTGGGCTTATATGAGCGTGTGTTTGCATATATCTCTGATTCTTTTACTTTTTCTCTCTCTCTATATATATTTGCTTTTCACAATTCGCATTAGCTCATATTCACATTCTCTATTTTTCTCTCTACGCAAACATGAATACGCGAAAGCAGAACACCACACATCCTTCCAGAAGACGTGTCAGACGTCACAGTGAGAATGCAATCCAAATCTGTAACATCTAATTTTATGCTATCAGAAGGAGGGACATGTTCAATCTCACAGCCTTTAATTAGATCTCTGGCACTGGAGGTGTGTGTATGTGTGTGTTCACATACACACATCTGTGTGGGTGTGTGGTTGTGCTGGAGAAGCAGTAAGAAGCATTAAAATCTTTGTGTGTGAGATTTTTGCACACGTTTGCGAATGCTGTTTGTGAGAAAAAATCGATCAATGGAGTAGAGGTCTGCATTCCCGCGGCTCTATCGTGGGACCCAACCAGATTTCTTGTGACGCGGGATTAAATTCCCAAATAAAACGCGGTAGCAGTTGGTAACTCTGGTGTAATTTGAATGGAAGCGGGCGGTCTAACAATATACCATTCCCGACGTCCTTTCAGAACAGCATATCTGCTCTTTATTCTTATTGACCACCGGTACAGCCTGCACTCAGGACTGTTATGCACGTGCTGCACGCATGAACCAGCGCTTTCTGAGGCCCTGTCCACACGAACGCGGTTATTTTTAAAACTGCAGCTGTTTCTATGCGGTTCCACACGCAAACGCAGCACCAGGTCACTGAAACCGAACATTTTTGAAAACGCCTGCCAGGGTGAAGATTTTCAAAAACTCCGGTTGCAGTGTTATCGTGTAGACAGCGAAACCGGAGTTTTTGGCTTGTGGCGTCGGGGCCTGCGCTGTTATCGCCGCCTACTGGAGACTTTTTCAGGCTTCTGATTGGCCAACATGGCTTTACGGTTGAGATTATATCGCCACCTGTATTATTTCACCACCCTATGTTAATCTGAGGGGAGGACATATATTAAGAAACTAAATTTTATTGGTCTATGTCAGTGCCCCTTTTCCTAACCTTCCTTTTGTTTGAGAAATGATTCAACTGAATGGCCCAACATGAAATACCCCAACATCTACAACTATTTGTGTCCTAAACACTCGTTTTTTGGGTCGACAGCTTACAAAAACGTAGTTCTGTTTTTTTTAGCTTGTTTACTGTACACCTTGTCACATAACAGCTTTTAGGCATTGCTCTGGTTTTTTTGTTATAAGTCAGAGATGACAAGGAGGCAGTTTCCCGCAATAGACAGTCAATGGAGAGAGTTGGATTCCCCCCCCGGTGTGGGCGTGGCCTAAATGCGCTTTGTCTCTATATCGCCACCTGTTGGTTTGGCATGCTCTTGACAGTGTTTCATAGCACGTGTTTGCGTTTTCATGTGGACGGAGATTTTTTTAAAAACGAAAGAAGGAAAACTTTTTTTTATTTTTATAAAAATACCCGTGTACGTGTGGACATGGCCTTAGTCACGCATTTTATTTGCGAGGTCTGTGCGCAGCATGTGAATACCGATGCTCAGAGTAGGCTGTAGCCTACCGGTGTGGTAAATACGGTCCTCAGACAGAACAGGCAGGTTGTCGATGAGTGACAGAGCAGAATAAGGATGGAGCAAAGTGTGGCTGCGCTGTCCTTGAAGGACGTTCAACTCGTTTTTTGTTTATATTTTGCTTAGCCTATCATTTTAAATTACAGATGTTGTAGCCTATTTATTTATTTATTTTTCTCTGCGACACTTTTCCTACTGTGTACAGCAAAATGTTAAACGAATTTAGTATTTTGACAAGACGATTAAAAATAGCTAGGCTATTTCTTTACAACCTACATTTTTATTTTTTTTCTCTGTGACACTTTTTCCTATTGTGTTGTAAATGTTAAATGAATTGTATCCTGACGAGACGAATAAAAATAAGAAATACAATTTTTGTACAACATTTTTATTTTCTCTGTGACACTTTTTTTTTTGTGATCAACTTTTTATTATCTTTTACATATAACACATAACATCATAACATCCATTCAGGATAAAACGCAAAAACAACAACAACAGACATATAATCAATTTACACATCCCAATAAGAGACAGAAAGGAAAAAAACAACAACATTATTCTTTTATATAGTCCAGTATAGTAGTAATAGGTTTGGCCTTATTAATTTGTGCTGTTGTACATTCACAGGTCACTATTTTAAGAAGACTATGGATCCAATACGTTTTCCCACACATGTGCGGTGTAAACCAGTTCTGTATTATTGTCTTTTC